AGTCTCTCGTGAATTTCAAAGTGTCCAATCTCCCCATTTGTTTTATTTTATTTATAGTATTACATGTCGCTATATTTAGCGCAGTGGCATGAGGAGAGTTTTTGCGTATAAAACAGGTTCTCGGCGGACTTTATGTTCTTATTACATCTATTAGAACTGTTTAATAAAGGCTAAATAAATCAAACACCATGGATTGTGTAAAATTTTGAGAATACCGAACATGAAAACATGAATATATACATGTATGTGACTTCACTTCTGCATATACTTCACGCTAAGCAAAGCGATTCCGTGGTCTAGTGGTTATGCCTCTCGCTTCATGTGTAAGAAAGACCCTAAAAAGGTTTTACCTTTCTTTCTTTTTTTTTTTAATACTTTTTTTTTACTAAATGATAGTATTCAGCATGTGAAATGAAAAATTTATGAGGCTATAAAATCATCATTACAGTGTGATAAAAATTCCATATAAAAAAATCCTCTATACACATAATGAAGTATTGCAATCAAATCTTTATATGCATATTGACATACATGTATTTTATTTGCTTCAGTATACATGTATACATTTAAAAATTCTAAAATTGCAGTACAGGGGAGCCGACTTTTTCCCTACGCGGGGTACACGAATTCTCTGAATTAGCTTGTTTATTAAGAAGATCAGCCGAATTATTTTGTGTATTAAAACGCCAGTGATAAATCAGAAAATTCCCTACTTTCACTTTAATTTCTGGAGGTTCTGCCGGAAAACAAATCTGACATGCCACCTTCAATTCGAGCATTTCTGCACTGTACAGGTCTGATGTTTCTTATTAGATGATAAATCATGTGTAAACTTTCTCAGTTTAGCGGAATCATGAACATTTTCGGCGAGATGAATGTTTTGTTTACAGTAGTGATCAAGGCTTAGCGCACCTGTATAGGAGCGGATCCAAAGATTTATGAATGAATAAAAACTATGGAAATAACGTACCAATTTTCTAATTTATTCTTGCACTATTTAATGAAATTAATAATATACGAGTAATAGATATACCAAACCACGCAAAATGCTAATAAATGAAGTTGACAATCGTTATTTTTTATATAGAAAAAACAAAATAATTATAAAATCTAGAGACAAGACAGAAGAAGAATGACTGTTGGCAAACTATCAAATCACATCAGGAGAACTGAATTTTATGAATGAAACTTTTAAAACGTTACCTGTAAATTGTATATGTTATATCTGTGTATTCTACCTGGCAGTGCGCTTCAAAAAAAGGGGGGGGGGTGTCTTGAACATAGTACCTTACGTTTGAACAGTAAGGGCTAGGGCTTTCGTATTTCAAATATGTAATCCTTGTGAAAAGAACTTTTATTGGACACCAAGAACTTTGACCCTTTGACCTAGACCTTGGAGAACACATGTGTACATCTGAATCTTTTTTTCTGTTTCGTTTCTATGGCAACTGTGAGCAACTCATTACAATTTTTTTAAAAGTAGAAATCACTTTGACACATTGCAAGGAATAAACACTGAAAGTTTCAAAACGATTGCCTGCGTAGTTATTGAGAAAATCGAAATTAAAGAATTTTAACTTTCACCTGGTTTCCATGGCAATAATCGATTATTTGAAAATTTTAAATGCGAGTTGCACAACTACAGATACTAATCATTAAAATAAGAAAAGTTTCATGACGAACGTTTAAGGGACCAGAGAGAACACTCTCGGACAAAATTTGTCGCTTTTTACAGGTTTCCATGGCAACGGTAGACATATTGGAACTGAACAACCTCACTGCACAACTACAACCAGCGATCGTCATTTGAGGAAAGTTTCAGGAAGATTGTCCCAGCCATCTCCGAGAAACAGCCTGGATAAAAAAAACATGCGTACAATATCAATATGTCGTCCCCGACTTCGTTCGGGGCGACATAATAACTCCTGAATTTTTCCCATCAATAACTCCTGAATTTTCCCCTTCAATTCGAGCATTTCTGCACTGTACAGGTCTGATGTTTCTTATGAGATGATAAATCATGTGTAAACTTTCTCAGTTTAGCGGAATCATGAACATTTTCGGCGAGATGAATGTTTTGTTTACAGTAGTGATCAAGGCTTAGCGCACCTGTATAGGAGCGGATCCAAAGATTTATGAATGAATAAAAACTATGGAAATAACGTACCAATTTTCTAATTTATTCTTGCACTATTTAATGAAATTAATAATATACAAGTAATAGATATACCAAAAACGCGAAATGCTAATAAATGAAGTTGACAATCGTTATTTTTTATATAGAAAAAACAAAATAATCATAAAATCTAGAGACAAGACAGAAGAAGAATGACTGTTGGCAAACTATCAAATCACATCAGGAGAACTGAATTTTATGAATGAAACTTTTAAAACGTTACCTGTAAATTGTATATGTTATATCTGTGTATTCTACCTGGCAGTGCGCTTCAAAAAAGGGGGGGGGGGGGGGGGTGTCTTGAACATAGTACCTTACGTTTGAACAGTAAGGGCTAGGGCTTTCGTATTTCAAATATGTAATCCTTGTGAAAAGAACTTTTATTGGACACCAAGAACTTTGACCCTTTGACCTAGACCTTGGAGAACACATGTGTACATCTGAATCTTTTTTTCTGTTTCGTTTCTATGGCAACTGTGAGCGACTCATTACAATTTTTTTAAAAGTAGAAATCACTTTGACACATTGCAAGGAATAAACACTGAAAGTTTCAAAACGATTGCCTGCGTAGTTATTGAGTAAATCGAAATTAAAGAATTTTAACTTTCACCTGGTTTCCATGGCAATAATCGATTATTTGAAAATTTTAAATGCGAGTTGCATAACTACAGATACTAATCATTAAAATAAGAAAAGTTTCATGACGAACGTTTAAGGGACCAGAGAGAACACTCTCGGACAAAATTTGTCGCTTTTTACAGGTTTCCATGGCAACGGTAGACATATTGGAACTGAACAACCTCACTGCACAACTACAACCAGCGATCGTCATTTGAGGAAAGTTTCAGGAAGATTGTCCCAGCCATCTCCGAGAAACAGCCTGGATAAAAAAAACATGCGTACAATATCAATATGTCGTCCCCGACTTCGTTCGGGGCGACATAATAAAGGTAAAAAAGAAACCGAAGAATAATAGAAGGGTCTTCCGCTGAAGACGGAAGACCCTAATAATAACTAGAAAGTCTGCTATTGCAAGCAATAGCATATGTCGCCCCGTATTAGACAAGACTTTCATTTTTATCATCACTAAAACAAAAGTCCATAAGCTAAGTTTGAAAACCTTTGAGTTATATCAGTCCTTTCCATTGGAAACGGAAGACCTTAATTCGGTACATCCCTCTCATTATTTTTAGAATCGGTAGGAGAAGAAAGTAGTGCAGGAAAATTACAAGTTCCTCAATTTGCAGACTTGCATAAACGAAATCTGGCAGATGTACTGAACTGAGCCTCATACTTGTTAATTGGCAGTATCTTTCCTATCATAAAAGCTTGGGAAATGTAATTTATGAAGAAGATCAGCCGAATTATTTTGTGTATTGTAACGCCAGTGTGGAACTCTGAAATTTCCCTCTTTCACTTTCATTTTAGAGGTTCTACCGAAAAACGAATCTGACATGCCACCATCAATTCGAGCATTTCTGCATTGCAGAGAGCTGATGTGTGTTATGAGATGATAAATCATGTGTGAACTTTCTCAGTTTAGCGGAATCATGAACATTTTCGGGGAGATGAATGTTTTGTATACAGTGGTGATCAAGGCTTTGCGAACCATCAGGAGCGGATCAAAGAATTTATGAATGAATAAAAACTATGGAAATGACGTACCAATTTTTTAATTTATACTTGCACTATCTAATGAAATGAATAATATACAAGTGATAGATATACAAGAAAACGCGAAATGATAATAAATGCAGCTGACAATCGTTATTTTTTTTTATATAGATAAAATAAAATATTTATAAATTCAAGAGACAAAACAGAAGGAGAATGAATGATGGCAAAATATCACATGACGGGAACTGAATTTTATGAATGAAGATTTTAAAAAGTTACTTGTAAGTTGTATATGTTATATCTGTGTATTCTACTTGGCTGTGTGCTTCAATAAAAGGGGGGGGGGGTCGTCTTGAACATAGTAAATAGCCATAACGTTTGAACGGTAAGTACTAGGGCTTTCGTATTTCAAATATGTAATCCTTGTGAAAAGAACTTTTATTGGATACGACGAACTTTGACCCTTTGACCTAGACCTTGGAGAACACATGTGTACATCTGAATCTTTTTTTCTGTTTCGTTTCTATGGCAACCGTGAGCGACTCATTACAATTATTTTGAAAGTAGAAATCACTTTGACACATTGCAAGGAATAAACATTGAAAGTTTCAAAACGATTGCCTGAGTAGTTATTGAGAAAATCGAAATTAAAGAATTTTTACTTTCACCTGGTTTCCATGGCAATAATCGATTATATGAAAATTTTAAATACGAGTTGCAGAACTACAGATACTAATCCTTAAAATAAGAAAAGTTTCATGACGAACGTTTAAGGGACCAGAGAGAACACTCTCGGACAAAATTTGTCGCTTTTTACAGGTTTCCATGGCAACGGTAGACATATTGGAACTGAACGACCTCACTGCACAACTACAACCAGTGATCGTCCTTTGAGGAAAGTTTCAGGAAGATTGTCCCAGCCATCTCCGAGAAACAGCCTGGATAAAAAAAACATGCGTACAATATCAATATGTCGTCCCCGACTTCGTTCGGGGCGACATAATAATAAGAAACAGAGTAAAAACAATATGTTCCCAAACTCCGTTTGGGGAACATAATAATAATAAGAAACAGAGTAAAAACAATATGTTCCCAAACTCTGTTTGGGGAACATAATAATAATAAGAAACAGAGTAAAAACAATATGTTCCCCAACTTCGTTTGGGGAACATAATCAATAACCCTGCATTTCCTTCTATTTCTACAGAAGTTCCGAACAGAATCAGTACATTGAAAAGAGCGTTTTTATTGGGGATTCCCCAAACACTGGGTCCCCTACAGTGATTACCAATGGGGGATCGTCCAAAACTTATCCAAGATCTGTCCCATTAGAGTTTGCGTGAGTACATAACTATACTTTGCAAAAAATTGTTTTGGGACCAGTATTTTTAATTATATAAATCTTTGTTCATTTAAACTATGATTTAATACATTGAAAACTGTTTTAAAATTTAGTGACCAACCTCGCCAAGGGTTTGTGTTTTATCATGGCCCTGTTTTTGTCGATGACACGTTTTTCGGAGACTTTGAGGATACGGATAATTATAGATCTGGTGCTCTTGGTTTTCAACGGGATAACGCTGGTCATAGTTCCCCTATAAGCGCTGTCAGCAGAATCAAATTTGGCTTCTCAGATGTAAGCTTTATAACTGACTTTGTTTGGATAAAATCTATAATGTTGTTTTTACAAAGATATTAGATTTTAAAAGAAGTAGCATTTATATTCCATCAAACTGTAAAATACTTAGTTATAGAAATAAGTAAAAAACTATGATCAAATATTGTTTTCAAAGCCATCCGAGGGTAACCGAGTATTCGATGGGAACGCTACAGACAATGGCTTCTCTGGACTGGACGGTGATTTGATCGGAACCTTTCGGGATTCTGATGGGTCCGTGTTTTCCGCCGGATCTCAGATTGTTAAGGATCTTCCATTCCATTCGACCTCAAATTGTTACCAGAGGTCCAACTGGAAAATGATGGCGTGTACAAATACCTTCGGTCAAGTAATTATCTGATTCTTTATTATAGGAATTAAAGAAGTTTATCTAGTTGAGTGAATAAAGGACATTTTTTTAAATTTGAAAGTAAACATTCCCTTGAATTGTTGAAGAATTTGTCATTAAATGTATAGTATATAAGGAGGAAAAAACATACTTTATTCTTATTACTGAAAGACATTATTATCCATTTTGTCAATGATAGGTACGTCTGTCGTGGAATTATAAAGTTAACGGAGTAGCTAATGACGTCTCCATTTATCGGGACGACCTTCCAGATAACCCAATTGAGTCAGACGCAAAGAAAAATGCTCCATTCATGGCCATTTTGGGAGAAGGATATGGTTATTTAGCAAAATGCCTTCATCGGTTGCCTTTAAAGGACTTGGTTTCACTAAGTTAGTATTGTTTTTTCTGTGTTTTTTTTTAAATATAAATTCCGAATATGTCTACAAGGGTTTTTAAAAAAATATATTTATATATATATCCTGCTTCTTTTTGTATGTTGGATGTTCTCCTTTCCATTCAACTGAATTAACTTTTGAATGTTTCATATTTTAGAACAAAAACTGCACGGATTGGGCTCTGTGTTCCCAGGGATGCTACAATAAGTATAAAAGTACAAAATCTCACATCAACGAGTAATTGGGACACATGGGTAAAAGGAGAGTCCATGACAACTATCGATGACCTTGACTCCAGTACAAATGCGAACAATTACTTTCTAGATTCAGATGTTGGGTAATAAATTTATACAATTTGAAGCTCAATAATTATCCTTAATATTCGAATAACTCAGATTCTTAGCTTTTGGAATATATATACATTTCAGAAAACAGTTTTTACACATAATTTCTACGATTTTTTTGTCAGGGTTCTATTTTTCAATATGATTCATGCAAGGGAATACGTCACCTCAGATGTGCAGGATTGTCTTGATGATCGATGCCCTATTGTGATGGTGAAGATAACTGGAGGAGATTCCTCCGATTCGGACTGCACCTCCCGAGCGTTCGAGAAATACAAGCAAGAATCACGTGACTCCTCCCCCGTATGTATTATTTGTCAGACGTTCCTTTTTCACGCAGTCGACTGCGTGGCGCATAGGTTAGCGCGTCTGCTCTAGAGTGGAAGGAAGTCCATCCTTACCTCGCGGTTTCTAATTCCACTGTGGGACGTGGAGACCTATCCTTCGGATGAGACTTTATAAACTGAAGTCCCGTGTCGCAGTAGGCGTTGGCACGAAAAAAGATCCTTCACTGCTCAATGACTTTAAGTGCCGAGCATAGGACGAAATTTGTAGCTCTCCACCGGCAAGTGGTGGCGCCTCCATATAAAAGAAAATTCTCGAGAGAGACGTTAAACAACACACAACCAATCAATCTTTTTCACGCAGAAGAATTTAGGATGACAGTCGAATACAGAATTGCCAATCAGTTGACTGTAAAGAGTTCCGACTGATTAATCGGTTAATTATATAAAAAGATCTCTTTTATTTATAAATGAAAGTTATACTTATATACACATAAGAATGACTATAAGTATATCATATATAATTTCGATTTAACTGTGAGAGACAAACAAAGTTTTTGATTTCTATTTTAAGGAGACCGAAATTACTGCCTTACCAACAAGTGATCTTTATCCCCCTACCGTGAGTACTGTTATTTGATTAAGGACAGATGATACAAACACACTTTTGTCAAAATTTTTGAAAATAACAACTTGGTTCATGTTTAAATAAATAAAATGAATAAGTTTCACCGCGTAGGTTTTAATTTTTTATTCAAAGTTGCACAAAAATGGAATTTGAAGCGAAAAATATTTGTAAAGAATAATAAGGATGGTTTCAGAAGGGCAAAATTTTGAACACCACAGAAGGTTTACAACTTCTTCATATTCAAGAAATTTATTATTTTCATCATTTGCAATGAAATTAGGTCAAAAAATATATACTAATCCGGGCATCAATTTTTTGTTTGTATGATCTGTCCTTAAACTAACACTCAAGTTTTAAAATTTAAAAAAATCAGTTTTGTGAATGTACTTTTAATATTTTCTTAAATTTTCTATGGACCTTAATTTTTCAATAAAATTCTTAAAAAATATAATGAATAAATAAATTATTATCTAAGAATAAAATACATATTCCTGCATAAAAGTATTTGAAGGTTTGAAAATTGAACTTGTTTAATTTTATTTTTGTTTTAGTCCTGGGGTGCTGGCTCGTCCCGTGATTAAAAGAAGAAATAACCCCATACTACTATGTAATGAATGCTCTCTCTGAAATGTAATTAAAATAAAATTATTTGAAATAGAACATGTTAGTTATATCTTCTGTTTCAAATCATAATTCTAAGATTTGGAATGCTTGTATTTTACATTGTTTTTACAAACTGAAAAGAAGATGCAGAAGCATTATAGAAATATAACATTTTATTCTTTACATGTATGCTGTGTGTTTTCACTTTTTTAAATATATATAGATAAAAAGGGATATACTATGTACATCTGGGATTTGGAAAAAATGTCAAAAGATATCAACTATGAATTCTTTACGATCACAAAATTATATGTAAAACGAAAACATGGATTTAAGGCAATTAAAACCGGACAAATTTGGATGTATTCGCTTCGACAAAAGAATTGACCTATAGGAGAGAACAATTTCCCGGAAAAAGTTACATTTTAATATTAATCTTTATTTGTTATTTTCTATCGTACATTTGTCTAAATTTTTCAAATTTGTATTTTATACCTAAAATTTATTATTTACAACTTTACAATAAACCTTCAAAGTTGGCTGAAACACCATTTTGTCCGATAAAGTGTTGATTTTTGCATGAATTTTGGCCTAGAAGTCCTTCAGGGCAGGCCTGCCCCTAAATAAAATTGTGATATTTTAATAGGTTATAATGTAAGGAATGATTTAAGATAGGATTTTTTTAGGGGTCGAAATTCTCAAAAAACCTACAAAAAATAAGGAAACCTGATTTTGAAAATCTGCTTCAAATTTATACCAAATGTTGTCATAGACAGACTAGCTCAGTTGATATGTGAGTTGGTTTTACTCCATGAAGTGCTTCTTTTTAAAGTCGCGGGTTCGAATCCACCTGGCACGACACTTTTAAAGTTTTCAATTTCGCCTTTTCAAAGACAATTTATTTTTTTTTAATAGACTTATGTATTTTCCTTCAATTATCTATAATTTATGCATGTCCATTCTTGATACAAGGAAAACTAAAGAGATGTCAAATTGTAACAATCATATGTACAGTTGTCAGTCAGGCGGAACAAACCTCACTATAAGCACACTTTTTCCTAGGACAAGAGTAAAGGCCGGTATACTCGATGAAATTTGTAGTATAATACAAGTATTATAATACTTTTGTATTATATTACTTTCTTGTACACACGCTAATACACATCTTACAAGATTGTAAATAAACTATTATTCCCACGTGTTTTCTCCTGTCATATTTCTCTCTCTGTCAAAATAATAAAAATTATAATAATAAGCTCTGCTTCTAGCATCTTTTTTGTGGTAGCTACAGCTTGATATATTCCACAAGTCCTCTTGCCCTTCCCATTAAACTACGAGTTTTTCGATATCTTAACTCGAAAAGTCGACCATTATTTTTTACCATGTGCTTTATTTAGTAATTTTTTAAATAGGATGACCCCCAATGTGAGTACATTTAATTGGTTGAAAGTGAAAGGTGAGTTAAGACTTGTATTAGGAAATAGAGCATTGCTCTATTCTTAATACAGTTATATAAGATTAGAAAAATCTTATGATACACTGTATTTAGAGTGTATACACAGTAAGATTTTGTATTATAATACAAATTTTATAATAATAATCTTACCGTGTATACCGGCCTTAACTCACTCTGTGTTATTTGATACAGGTATTCTTGACAGCATTGAGCTGCAACGAATTTCAATATTGTATATATTCCTTAGAATTTAATCACATTGATTTTGACTACATATATCAGTAACTGTACTTCCTTGGATTTCATTTAGGCCTATATAATTTGCACACATTAATGACATTTTTTTTATTATATCCACGGATAAATAATCTAGACATAAAGAATTACAGAGACAATAGACATTACCATTATGCGCAATGAGAAGTAAAGACAAATATCAATGTTACATTTAAAGATAACAAACTCAGAAAATCAATGAAAAGGTTTCTTCTACCTCTACTCACTGAAATAAAGATTTAGGAAAAACAAATTGTTAAATGTATTCGGCTTAATGTCATTAATCAGAACGGAAATTGACAAGCTATTTGTAGAGAAAAAAACCAAGCCCGGTCCTATAGGTCAGATCCCTATTTATAATGCAGTGATCCTTAGACCTACCCCACAATCTACTAAAGATTTTAATATAGAACTGGTTTATAGGAACTTACAATAATTTCCCTGTTAAGGATAAAAACGGACACAGAGTTGAGTAGGAAAAAGCAAACTCTCACGGCAATAAACAATTACCTACATATAGTAGAAAGAACATATTAAACACACACAAACAGGGAAAAATAAAACACTTGTTTTTGACTGTGAAATATGTTATTGAGGTACAAACTAAGGTAATTGCAGACATAAATACTGTAGAAGTACTTTTTTCCGCGTGGTATTAATTTACGCTATGTAAATGGAAATTTTTCCAAGCGTACTTAATATAAAGGTAAGGCATATAGTGACTATCTAGAAAAGTAATTTTCTACCCGCGAATTAAACAGAAATTGAGATTCCGCGGAATTATGACCCCGTGGAAAAAAGTACGTGTACAGTAAATAAATCTGTATATTAATTCTAAATTAATGTACGGATTATTTATAGCGAGCGTAGCGAGGCGGCGCAAAGCGCCGCTATCCTTGCGAGCTCAATAGACAACGTGTAGGAACGGAAAGAAATTTTTATCGTACCACGTAAAAAAATATTCCAAACTCCCAATAATCCTTTGCGGTGCATAGCAACATGATTGCTTAAAATAGCAACACCTTACTTGAAAGTAAAAAAACCCAACAATTAAACAGCGATTTTATGTAATATGCATCCACAAACTATCGTTTGCTTCCTAAGGCAACAGGACTTTTTTTGACGTCAAACTCTCGTCACTTAACGAGGCCGAGTATAATTATTTCTGCCCTAGGGATTTTGATAATTTTTTGATAATTATTTTTTAATATTATATTTATTTTTTCAAGATTAAAAAAATCAAATGTTTACCGATGCAGGGTCGCAATTAGCATGTAGAACTGGAAGAGGGTGTATTTTCTGACAAACCTTGTCTGAATTGATTTTTTGAGTTCAAGAGTTTGTAAATGTATTATAATATTAAAAAAAAACCATAAAATCTTTCAATCGATCTTAAAGAAAGTTAGCAATTAAAGAAAATTATTATATACTGGGTAAAAAAGTTTAAAAGTACTTTCAGAGGGAAGGTTTCATTGATTTTTAATTAGTTTGTTGGACATTAAAAGTTATAGAACATTAGAGCGTTTTTAAATACAGATTAATGAACTAAGGGTTTAACTTCTACTATTCCTCAAAAACATGATGCCCCATAAGCTTCCTCCTGCCTTTGTTTCTATATGATCGCCATATATATAGAGACCGCCTGACCTGAGATTTGGCGGAAAACATTTTTGAGACGATTTGCATTGTTTGACGTTTTTGAAAGATGAAATCTAGTAGCACTGGAAACACCCCTCGAAACCAAGCCAGGATTTGACCCCATAAAATAATTTCCGAAAAAGTGAAACATAGATATTCCGTGTTTTAAAAAAGACTAAATAAATGGATCCGCAATGAAATATAATTTTTGTTTGAAATATGATAGTATGATAGACGTATATTTATCTTTTCATTATTCATGTTATTGAGAGAATAAGTTATATTCATTATACGAATAGAACATATTTCAATATAATCGATGTCACAGATTAGATTACTATTTAGTATCATTCAGCTAACATATCGTTCGGCGGAACAGGTGTTATCCCACTTATATTTGTAACGTTATATCATTTAAATTCTAGATTCTATATGGATCCGACAAACAGTGCCCAAGATGTCATCCGCTGTGATTTATGTGAGATCGCTATTGTGGAGATGCACTGTGATTTCTGTCATGTCAATCTGTGCATTTCTTGTATAGGAACACATATTTCTGATGACTATGACAAACATAAAGTTGTTCCATTCAAGCAAAGAAAATCAACCTTGATTTATCCTAAATGCAAAACACATGAAACAAAAAGCTGCGAATTTCATTGCAAAAAATGCAACATCTCTGTTTGCTCTTTGTGTACAACTATGGCTGATACACATAAGGGACATTCCATTTCAACTCTTTTGGATATCTATATTTCAAAGAGAGAAAAATTGGTAAAGATACAGAAGAATTAGAAAACATCATTTCCCCTTGCTATGAGGAAATAGCAACTGACCTAGAAACTCGGATAAATAACTTAGACGAAGAGTATGTAAAACTTACAACATCAGTGTCAGGTCATGAAGAAGAAAAATTACCAGTATTGGCAACAAAATGAAAGACGAAATTAAGGAGATAAAAATCAAGCATTTGAGTATCCTTAAAAAAGATTTAGATGAAATTAAACAAATACAAATTCAAATTAAACAAACACGGCTCAACCTCCTAGGAATTGAAGAATCAAACAAAGTAAGCATGGCAATGGAGTACAGATCAAAAAACGAAGAATTCAATAAACTTCCTCCAAAAGTCTATGTATCACCACCAAGCCTCTGTCAAAAAACAATAGATACAGAACAACTTTACGAGTTGTTTGGATCTTTGACACCGTTATCCATAATAAGAGAAGCGATACGATATAAAGCCAGGAAACCAGATACATCAACTGAACATTTTCTTTCAGATCCAAAGCTTAGTACCTATATAAATACTTGGACTAAAAATCTTCGCTCTATAACATGTCTCAGTGATGGAAAAATTTGGATAAATGCATTCGACACCAGATCTACCGATATGAAATGCTTTCACATTCAAGGTACAGTTATGAATACAATCAAAACGAAATCCGGAAATTGGTAAAATGATATTTCAGCTACTGGAGATGGGGATCTTTTATACTCCACAGGGACAACAAGGACTGTAAATAGAGTTAGGAGTGGACAGACGGAGGAACTTCTCAGACTACAGGGCTGGATACCTAACAATCTCTGCGTGACATCTTCTGGTGATCTTCTGGTTACCATGTACAGCAATGACAAAACACAATCCAGAGTTGCCCGTTATTCTGGCTCACAAGAGAAACAAACAATCCGGTTTGACGATGATGGTAAAGCTCTATACTCAGGAACAGACTCCATAAAGTGTATCACTGAGAACAGAAATCTAGATATCTGTGTGGCTGACTTTAATGCGTGTGCTGTAGTTGTGGTCAACCACACTGGAAATTTCCGCTTTAGATACACTGGTTTTTGTTTTTCATCTAAACCCCAACTTTTTAAACCTTTCGGGATAACAACAGATAGTCAGAGTCAAATCCTTACGTCAAATTATCATAATGACTCTATCTACATCTTGGACAGCGATGGAGAATTCCTCATTTTAATAGATTGCTGTGATCTAAAGAATCCTACTGGATTATGTGTAGATAGGAACGACTTTCTCTTTGTTGCCGAGTATGATAGTGGGCTTGTTAAGAAGATTCAATACCTGAAGCAAAAATAACAAAGCTAAATAAAAGTACTTTATAAAGTATATCTATGGCATGCAATATTGAAATAAATGTTACTTTCCTATAAGTACTTTTATAAATAAATCAAGAGAATTTTTTTGTATACTATAGACAGAAATGGTTGGTGTATTACAAATACAAACAACGCTTTATATCAATTCAACGAAACAAATAGAATGGAAAGTCATTGCGCCCAAAATAACCTTCCTTTTTTTCTCCGTCAAGTAATCCGAATATCACTTACATTTGAAGCAGTAACCATGGATTTTGTTTATCCTGCAACAAATCCAAGTCAAGCTATATCGACCAATAAGCCATGTTGATAAAGTTTGACCTAAGCCATGTTCATTAAGATTGATGTAAGCCATGTTGATAAAGGTGGATTTAAACATGTTTATCAAGATTGATGAAACCATGTTGATAAACATTGATGTATTGTCTAATTGATAAAGGTTGATGTTTTGTCATGTTAATAAAGGTTGATGTAAACCATGTTGAAAAAAAAGATTGACGAAAACCATGATCATTAAGATTGATGTAAGCTTTGTTGATAAAATTAGATATGTCATGTTGAAAGCGATCGATGTATTGATGTATTAAGTAATAAATACAAGTTTTCTGCATATGCGATATGGCTGACGTCACATTAGCCGTATCAGCCCTGTAATGCTGATATGGATTTGCGGGGCTGATAACCTATATCAGCCCTGCAAATCCATATCAGCCCTGCAGGGCTGATACGGCTACTGTGACGTCAATATCACACCCTTAGTAAATTAAACCACAAAACAGTACCTGTGATCATACACAATTCTTAGTGGGTTCATATTCTATTAATTTTAACTTTTTGAAAATAAGGTTAATCTTAATTTACAAATACATTTAATAGATTATTTTCAAATTACGGATAGAGTGCATTGAAATAGGAGTAGAAACAAACCCAAATCGTTTGAGACAATATACCATGTACATGTATGTAAGATGTTCATGCATGATTATTTACTAATTTTCTTCTCGACTTAATGTATGCTGTATTTTATTACTAAATATGTAATAAACATATTAATACATACCCTTTTCCATATCACATCCTGAATCAACCCTCGACCAATATCAGCCCTCGGGCCTTCGGCCCTCTAGCTGATATTGATGTCTCGCGCTGAGACAGGATGTGATATGGAAAAGGGTTTGTATTATTCTCTATGTATTGCCAAGTCGATAAAGATTTATGTAAGGCATGTTGAGAAGTTATTGTGATGGATGTTGATGAGGGTAAGGGTAAGTATGTTGATTTGGAGAAGGGCTAATATCATGGACGCATGCACTGTTAGAGGATGTATACAATTTTTGAAATAAAAAAGAAAAGAAAGTATCTGTCAAAAAAAAAATGATAAAAATAAGTAAAGTATATACAGGTAATTTAGAATTTCATACTGCTCTTTTGATCTCGGCCATGGTACAGTGTATCAATCTAACTCCAGAGCTGAGTACATCCAAGAGCTGATTCCTGAAACCTAATTCATTTTTCTAAAATCAAAACCAACAAGAGAACAAATATATTGAAAGACATTAATTTTTTCAATAAAGTGTTGTAATTAAGACTAATTTTCTTCATTTTTCTTCGATGTTAATCAAGAAGGTGCTCGACGAAGGTGACTGATCATGAAAAAAGGTTTTGCTTTATTTAGTCGTGAAAAAGAATATTCCTTGTGGTTTGAAACATATACGAGGGTCTCTCGAAAAGTTCGTGGACTCCTGTCAAATATTTTTTTATTTTACGTCATATCCATAACTTGTGCTTACAAATTATAATGATGTCATATTCTTAGCCACGAAGGCGTACTGTTACAGTCTATATGCATGCATAAAATGATTTTAAATCGGGTTCAAAAATATACAAGCACTTTGAAATTTCAAATTTAAATTTATTATTATTATTAAATTATGATGTAAAACACTTTTTTATGTAAGATTAACAGTCATTCATATATACTTAAATGTAAACATCCACAAAGTATATATAGAAACAGTCTCAAATAAAACAGCGATTTAGTTCAAATGTATTTTTTTTATTATAAAAAAACCTTCCCCTGGATTGATTGATTGATTGTATATTGTTTAACGTCCCTCTCGAGAATTTTTCACTCATATGGAGACGTCACCGTATGCCGGTGAAGGGCTTCAAATTTTGACCTTTACTCGGCACTCAGGGCCATTGAACAGAGAGGGATCTTTATCGTGCCAACGCCTGCCGCTGACACGGGGCTTCGGTTTTTAAGGTCTCATCCGAAGGACCCGCAACTTTCACTTCAAAGTCCCGAGCGCATGGCAAAGGAAGAGTTGCTACCCATTTTATCGACTGGGTCAGTCGCGACCGAGATACAAACTCATGACCTCCCGATCACGGAGCGAGCGCTCCACCGACTGAGCTACCGTGAATGGTTCTTCCAATGGAAATAAAACAACAAAGTAATCAAATGAGAATTTAATCAATTAACTACATGTTTGTGAGGTACACCAATTAAAACCTTCACAATACACAAGTTTAGAAAACATAGAATTAATACCCACAAAGAGATAAATGAATACAGTCATTGAATACAACACGATATCCATTGTTTCTCTCATTCCAAAATTACGCATACTTGTATGCTAATAATATTTGCCAGATATACATATTTAACTTATTACGATATGATGAATCTTGAAAAATTACATCCATTACAGCTAAAAGTCTTAAGAAATATTACATGAAAAAAAACTATTAATACTTAGCCAGAAACGAAACTACAAAAGACATTGTACTGTCTTTACTGCAAAAAGGCAATTACTGGTCTTTTGACTGTCAGTACTGATAAAGTGTTGATAGTTATAAACGTCGAAATTTACTGATCCATTTTACTACCCCAACAAAAAATTAGACAATTGAGTCCTCAAATGTTAAGAAAAGTTTCCTAGAGATTGTGCAATGGTGTGATAATGCATGTGCGTTATAACTTTAATTTAGAAAATTGGCATTTCATATTTTAGAAAAAAGTACACGTTATATTTCCAGACATGCAATTAATAAAAGTGATAATGTGTTAATTAGGTTTTAATAAATATTTAAAATGTTTTGACAAAACTTCAAGTCAAATGCTCCTGCAGGGAAAACCCTAGTGAAAATACTTTTGTACTTGTGTGCAATTTTTTTTAAATAACAGAGAAAATTTGTTTTTTTTTTGCGTCCCGGTATATAATAATAGTGTATAGAACATAAGAAAGATAACTCTAAATGACGTAACAGCAGGAAGTGTACTTGTTTATTGACCTCAAAACCGAGGCCACCGTTTTCAGAATTTTTCTTGCACAGATACAGAAATGAAACTGATTTTTTATATAGAGAACTGAGTGAAGAAAATTAATCACAGACGTAAGTACATGTGTAACTATTTTAACAGGACAAAGAAAAGAATAATGAACTTATTAGAGATAAATTCAGAGAAAATATGAAGGTGATCTGTCCTTTAAAACATAGTTTGAAATTAATGAAGTATAAAGGCTGTTTTTCCGTAATAATACAAGTATGTAAAAACACATGTACAGCAGTTAATGCTAGAAAGAACAAATGTTGTGTTAACTGAGTTTTTAATATACCAATTTACTTTCGTTTTCACATTAAACGTTTCTTAGTACATATCAAAATAATAGGATTATATGAACGCTTTTACAAAAAGTAAGTAAATAGAGACTGAAAGTATGTTTCAATATTTTTTTTCCTTTGCATAGAGAATGAATTATTTACTGATCGAGTACTTTATTTTTTTTATCTATAGATCTATAGACATAATTTAAATTAAAAAAATAAAACTCACTTTTTAGCCGGGCTTATTGCTCAAAGAGCAATTGCCGGCTTATGTGATCCTGTTCAAGGCAGGATGTTGACCCCATAGTCGCCATTTTAAAGATACGTGCAAAAAATATAGTTCTTACTCTCAACCGCTTTTGAGATAATACAAATGCTTAATAAAGCAACAAAAATAAAACGAAGTTTTATCTTTATAAAATAAACATTAGTAGTAATGACTTCGAAAACTTCATAAGTCAAAGAACATAGTTCATTAGCGTAAGGATTTTTGATAATCAGTGTTACCGTAGTTCTCTACACATACGAGGTAAAGCAGGAGAGGGAACCAGACTGGCCTGTTTGTTTACATTCAGCTGCGACACCAGATTAATTCCGATTTTGACAAATTCGGACCGTGGTATTAGGATTGAAAAACTCACTGTCAGTGTCTTATCATTTATATTGATAGTTTTAAAATAATTTTTTCATCAGAATATAAACGTGATTCATATAAGAAATCCATTCTACTCTGTAAATGAGCCCGGCTCTCTGTTCTTCTGAGTACTTTGATTATAAATGTAATGATGATCATACCTCATATTTTAGATTCAACATGGATTCAGCTAACAGTGCGCAAGATGTCCGATGTGATATTTGCAAGAACGCTAAAGTACAAATGCACTGTGATTTCTGTCATATTAATTTGTGCATTATTTGTATAGGAAAACACGTTTCAGATGATTATGATAAACATAGAGTCGTTGCATATGAACAGAGAAACACTATGTCGATTTATCCTACATGTACAACACATAAAACAAAAAGCTGTGAATTTTAATGCGAGAAATGTAACACCTCCCTCTGCTCCCTTTGTACAACAATGTCTGATACTCACAAGGGGCATCCCATTTCAACTCTTCCTGATATTTATAATCTAAAGAGAGAAGCTGTTGAAAAAGATATTGATGAATTAGAACTCATCATCCTACCAACCTACGAAGAAATAGCAACTGGCTTAGAATTCAAAATAGCCAACCTGGATGGAAAATATGAAAAAATAACAACGGTTTTGTCAAAACATGGCGAGGAATGGCACAGAGAAATTAATAACATTGTAGACATACTGAAAGCAGAAATTGAGGCGAATAAAACAAAACATAAAAACATTCTTAAACAACACTTGGATGAAATCAAACAGAAGCAAAATCTTATTCAAAAAACTTTGCTAAACCTAAATAAAATCGAATAAAACAAATTATGTGTCCATGTTCATCGAATACAGCTCTGTAAACAAAGAATGCAGTAAATTCCCTCCCAAAGTTCAAGTGACACTGCCAACATTCAGTCCTCAAACAATTAATACAAAACAACTGAATGAGTTGTTTGGATCTCTGAAACCATTATCCATAGCAAAGGAAGAAAATGGATACAAACCAAGGAAATTAAGTGCCAAAGAATTGCTAATGGAGCCAAAGCTCATTACTTCTATAGATACTGGGCTTGAAAATCTCCAAAGCGTTACCTGTCATAATGAAGAAGAAATCTGGACAAATGCACGCAACAACAGTTCAAATCTTCCTCTAGAAATAAAACAATAAAGTAATCAATTCAGAAACAATTTTCGTTTGTGATGTACACCAATTAAAACGTACACAATATACTAAAAAAACAGAGAATAAATACAAAAAGAGATAAATGAAAACAGTCATTGAATACACCACGATATATTGATATGATATATGATGAATCTTGAAAAATTACACCCATTACAGCTTAAAAGTCTTTGGACACATTACAAGAAAAGTACTATACTTAGCCGGAAATGAACCCACATAAGACATTGTATTGTCTTTACTGCAAAAATCACAATTGCTTGCCTTTTTACTGTCAGTACTGATAAAGTGCTGAAAAACGTCGTAACTTACTTATTACTTACCACAACAATAAAAAAGGCAATATATAGAGTTATCAACTGTACAGAGAAGTTTCCTAGATATTGTGTGATCATGTGATAATGTCTGGGCTTTATTTTAGTTTTAAAAATTGGCATTTCATATATTAGAAAAAAGTACATACATCGTATTATATATTCAGACCTGCAAGCACTGTAAATAAAACTTTTTTACAACTATTAATTAAAAAAATCCATAGCTAATTCGGTACATAGATGATGAAGCGTTGATTACGTTTAAATAAATGCTTAGAATGTTTTGACTAAGCTTAAAATCAAAAGGCCCGTGTATGGTATAAATCTAGTAAAAAAAAAAAACTATTATCTTATTCGCAACTTTCTTATGAACCGAGTCGACATTTCTGTAAATAATAGGTATAGAACATAAGAGAGATAACTGTGAATGACGTAATACCAGGAAGTGTACATGTTTATTGACCTCAAATCCGAGGTCCTTTTTATACACATTTTTAGATAACAGAAATGAAACTGGATTTTGATTTTTTTTCTTTTACAGAGAACTGCTTTATCTGAATGAAATTAACTAACCACAGACGTAAGTACATATGTTACTATTTTAACAGGACAAAGCAAAGAATAATAAACTTATTTGTGATTAATTCATAGAAAATGAACAGGTGTTTTGTCTTCTGAAACTTAGGTTGAAGTTTATGAACTAAGGTGTTTATCTGGAATAATATAAAAATGTAAAACACAACAGTTAATGCTAGAAAGAAAATAAAACACCGTGATCACTGAAACATGATATACCAGCTTGGTTTCGTTTTCACATGAAACCATTACGGTTCATAGTACATCTCATAATTTAAGGGATTATGAGGTTAATTGTATTCGGCGCGCCAGCGCGTCCATCTCATCCCAATATCACACAAGTATTTTCTCCCTGCATTAAAACACTCAAATGACAGCGATTTTATTCATAATTTAAGCATTATCGGCTATATTCAAGTCGACACCCGAGCCCGATTGTATTTTTTTGGTTAGGTGGATCCAGAAAATTTTTTTAGGAGGTGGTGGCTGCAATCGGAAGGGGAAAAGGATTTGAGACATAGCTTTAGTAATTTTAGTATGTCAATTTAAAAAAAAAAAAGAAATTTCCAGGGATCTGGATCCTCTTTGATCCATGCATGTCTAACCACGATTTGTGCAAGTGCAATCCGAGATTTACTGCATATTATATATTGATAGTTATATCTCCAAACTTTAACTATATAGCATTAAAAAACATTTAGTGCTTTTGTTTTTATAAATCAACTTTATGCAGAACACATAGGCATCGGAATCGGGGGGAGGGGGGGGGGCTTATAAAGATGGACATCATATAGGTATTCAACATTGGGGCGTAGGTTCATTTAGTCCCCCCCCCCCTTCCCCCAACTCTCATCAGGCAAGGCAGTGTAGTCCTAGAAGAAGGGTAAGTGGTAGTGTAAGTGGTAATGTTTGAAAAAAAAATGGTACTGAAAGAAGTTCGCCCCCTCACCCATCACGAAATAGGATTTTCTTGTTTGGACAATAGACACATTTTACCTTTGTTTTTTTTTTTGGGGGGGGGGGTTCTTACTAAGATTTTTCAGGTTCGAAATTTATTTTTTTTTCTTTCACCTAACCCCCCTTTCAATTTGCTTCCGACGCCAATGTAGCAAATTAAATTTACCAGTATTACATTATGACCCTATACTCTAGAGTTTAACCTCCTTTCAAAAGCTTGATTTTCATGGCAATAAGCTACCATACATTGGTATAAGTGTTTGAACAAGATGCCTTGTTACTTTTGAAAATAATACTACTAAAGATTAACTTGTCTTTATTAGATGGGGAGTAACTTTAGTTACAGAAATGTTTTTGCTATTAATAGCCCTTTTAAACAAACTTTAGGTCAGAAAAATACTTTGAAATTTATTGAAAATAATAGAACAGAGGAAAAGTCTTACTTTTTTGGCATATCATTCTAAGGTTATGGTGATCAAAACAACCTTACCTTTTTGACTCTGCAGAATCTTTTTTTATTTAATTCTCACATCTTTCTTATGGAGCATAAATGAACATAATTTGAAAAAGTTGTGAACAAAGTATCAAACATTAAATTTTATGGAAATCGTCAAAATCAACTCCTATCGGTACTTTCAGTACTTTGATAAGTATAGAAATATCGAGTGAAATATCGAGCCTGATGCTGACAAATATTGTATAAGCGATAAATTTTATTTACAAAATCTGTTGCGCGAGCGCGCCGACGCGCCGATGCGCCGAATAAAATTAGCCGATTATGAACTGTTTTTCAATTAAGTAAATGGAGAATGGATGTAGGCTTCAATATCTCAATACTTTTCCCCTTGCGTACAAAAATAATTATGCACTGAGTTCTTTATGTTAATTACATTTAATTCAAATGTATCTAAAGACATTTAGGGAGAAATTAATGAAACAAATCATTTTTAGTACATGTTTTCAATACTATTTTATCTTAAATTTTAGATTCAAAATGGCTTCCAGCAACAGTGCCCAAGATGTCCGATGTGATATTTGCAAGGACGCTAAAGTGCAAATGCACTGTGATTTTTGTCATGTTAATTTGTGCATAAATTGTATAGGAAAACACGTCTCTGATAACTATGACAATCATAGAATCGTTGCATATGAACAGAGAGACACAATATCGATTTATCCTAGATGTGCAACACATAAAGGAAAAAGCTGTGAATTTCATTGCAAAAAATGTAACACCTGTCTCTGCTCTTTTTGTACAACAGTGGCTGATACACACAAGGGGCATCCCATTTCAGTTCTTACCGATATTTATATTTCTAAGAGAGAAGCTATTGAAAAAGATATTGACGAATTAGCTCACATCATTTCACCAACCTTCGAAGAAATAGCAACTGGCTTAGAATCCGAAATAGCTAACTTGGATAAAGAATATGAAAAACTTTCATTTGTGTTGTCCAAACATGGAGAAGAATGGCACAGAGAAATTAATAACATTGTAGATAAAATGAAAATGGAAATCGAAGCAATTAAAATCAAACACACAAACATTCTAAAAAATCACTTGGATGAAATGAAACAGAAGCAAAATCTTATTCAGGAAACTTTGCTAAAAGTAAATAGAATCGAAAAATCAAATTACGTGTCCATGTTCATCGAATACAGCTCTAAAAATAAAGAATTAAGTAATTTCCCTCCAAAATTTCAAGTGACACTGCCAACATTCAGTCCTCAAACAATTAATACAAAACAACTGAACGAGTTGTTTGGATCTCTGACGCCATTATCGATAACAAAGGACGAAAATGGATATAAACTCAAAAAATTAAGTGCAAAAGAACTGCTGAGGGAGCCAAAGCTTATCACGTCTATAGATACTGGGTTTGAAAATCTCCAAAGCGTTACCTGTCAAAATGAAGGAGAAATCTGGACAAATGCACGCAACAATAGTGATATGAAATGCTTTGACTCTGGAGGCTCACTTATAAAAACTGTGAAAACCGAATCAGATGCTGCACCTTTTGATATAGCTTTGACACGAGATGGTGACCTGTTGTACTCGGATGGGAAATCAAGGACATTGAATAAAACGATAAATGAAGAGAAAGAAGAGATGATAAGGCTAAAAAATTGGGTTCCTAAACAATTGTGTATCACTTCGTCCGGTGATCTCCTGGTTACCATGTGCAGTGATGACTTCACACAATCAAAAGTTGTCCGTTTTTCAGGTTGCACAATGAAACAAACAATCCAGTTTGATAACGAAGGTAAACCTTTATATTCAGGAAATAACAAAATGAAGTACATTACTGAGAACAGAAACCTAAATATCTGTTTGGCTGACTCTGGTGCTAATGCTGTGGTAGTGGTCAACAAAGCTGGAAAACTCCGATTTCGATACACCGGTCATCCATGTACCAACAATACCAAACCATTTCAACCCATTGGGATAACAACAGACAGTCAATGTCAGATCCTTACAGCAGATGAAGCTAACAATTGTATTCACATCCTAGACAAAGATGGACAATTCCTCGGTTTCATAGGCAATTGTAACCTGAAGAATCCTTATGGAATATATGTAAACAAAAATGATGACTTATATATTGCTGAGAATACTGGTGGAAAAGTAAAGAAAATTCAATACCTAAAGTAACATTACCCCGCATTCACATGTATGCAATAAGCATGTAGTTAGACTTGTGGCTTCAGTACATCGTTATTATCTTTAAATTTCTACTAACATTATACATATATCACATACCTGGGTGACATACTCGAATATTTGACCAAAGGAGACAGGAATGAGAAACAGGAATTTATATGTATTTTTTATTATATACATTATTTTGGGCTTATTTTTTACCTTTAACTTGGAGCTTGGGCTTGTTAAAAAGCTTGATTTTCGAACTGAGTATTGTTAATTGCTTGGGTGTAACATGTAAATATTTCACTTTAATAAATCACTGCTTAAAAAACAAAGTAAATATTTTTCATGGAAGGAAATATACGGGGAATAATACTTTAGTAATGGTCTAAAAATGAATTCTATACCTGCACCAATCTTTAAGACAGATCGCAAAAAAGTAAAGATATTATGATTGATATTTTAAAAAAAGAATTGAAGCTTAAGATCGTTAACTTTACTTTTGCTTGTTTTTGATATGGTGATTTTCATGCAATTTAAAGATATAATTTAAACTTACCTGTTAAAATCAAATTATTCATATTTAGGAGAATGCAAAAACATCCTTGTACATCTTCACTGACCATTTGCGTTCATATTGCATACATAAAAAATGTTGAATATTGCATACATAAAAAGTGTTGAATATTGCAATTCATGTTCACGTATTTTCTTCCCTAATACAAGTAGCGATCCTGCTCTAGAGTCGCGAAGTAAGGAGTCAATCCTTACGTCGCGGGTTCGAATCCCACTGTGGGACGTGGAGATCGGTCCTTCGGATGAGACCGTATAAACCGAGGTCCTGTGTCGCAGTAGGTGATGGACCGAAAAAGATCCCTCCCTGCTCAATGGCCCTTAGTGCCGAGTATAGGAAAAAATTTGCAGCTCTCCACCGGCAAGTGGTGGCGTCTCCATATGAGTGAAAAATTCTCGAGAGGGACGTTAAACAATATACAATCAATCAATCAATCAAGTAGCGATCCAAAAATATTTAATGAGTTTCAATGATAACATGTACATCAAATATAGAAAATATATAATATAGCATAGAAACTCAAAATCGGAACCAAGTACCACTGGTTTCTTTATTTGTGTGCATACCACTTATTTCTTTCATTTTTTGGCAATATAATAATAATATTTATATAATGATAATAATAATAATAAGATTGTTCCCTTTGAAAGCAAGGAAGGGATCGTCCAATTCTCGATCATAGGATTATATGAGATTTTCAATCAAATATTAATGATAGTTGAACAGTATAATAACGATTAACTATTTCTGTCCAGTAATATAATTTAAAAAACACTGCACGTTAAAGCGTTATTGATTACAGACGTTTACCCCTCTAAACCCTGGACTTGAGGAGCAATCCCCTTTTAATGATATCACTTATAAGCCCATATAATTGTAAACTTTTTTATTCAACAACATTTCAGAGATTCTTTTACGGTTCACAAGATAGTGAATAATAAATATTTGAGTTGAGGACCATCCCTTCAACTCCTTAATGGGGACGTTTAGCAAATTTTGAAAGGTTAGATATTGTTCAATACATTATTTTAAACAACTTTTGTTCTATATAAGTTATCAAAATGTTTTATACTTTTGAGATATAATGCGTCAAAGATTAAGCATTCTGGTCCCCTTATTTTGATGTTAAAATCATGTATAGTTAAGGTGAATTTTAGGAGGAATAGCAAAATGCTTACAATCAGCCTATGAGATTTTCTGATTTTTTTTTTTTACCATTTTTCGTTTTCTAATAAAATTAACCAGGCTTGATATATTTTTGTAAAGTTTATATTACACTTTCAGCACTAATCTTACATATGTAAACCTTAACTGATTATCTTTTGTCCAGATTTGTTTCTTTTTATTGAAGTATTAATTAATATTTTCCAATTCTATTTCACTTTTCAAGACTTAGGAAAAAATTCCAAGAACTGTCCACTTTTCTAAGCCTGTGAGATGCAATAAAGTATCCTCCAAAGAAAAAGAAACGTTTATATCATCAGCCTTTAAGGTCAAGATCTAGGATATGAAAGGCGCTTATAAAATAAATTCTTTTAATTATGCTTTATAAGTTTATATTGGTCAATTAAGGTGTTTCGGGGCATACTCTGTAGGTAAACAAGATGAAAAATCATATTATATCACAGGAAAATACTTTATTTTTCTAGAAAATTTTACTGGAGCCGTAAAGTACAGGAAAAAGGAAAGTTGAAAGTGATTATGACATCATAATTTATTCATCACCAAAAAGACATAACTAGATCTTGACCTTAAGCCATCATTGATTTCTGTCACAGACAAGGAGGTCCTCTAAAAGTATGATAACTTTCTTCCTGAAGAAATATCCCTTAAAAAAACTTTCCAGAATTAACTTCAGATGTTAACGTATATGCCATGAAAAACTGAATTAAATAGAACGAATCATCTCCGAGAAATCATCTGCACAAAATTTGTTAAAAGAAAAAAGAATAAAAAGAATAATTAAACATTTTAAGTAAAAAAGAAACCGAAAATAAAAGAAGGGTCTTACGCTGAAAAGGTAATCTCTCTATACACTGTATACAATGAATAGAGAGATAACTCTAAATAACAGCAGGCCAGGAAGTGTACCTGTATATTTATTTCAGATAAATATTTTTGTGATAAAGTCCATCATTTCTGGATTTTTCTTTTACAGATAAACAATTGAATATTAGTTTTATTTTCTGTTGGACGGATTTTTTGCCATTTGAGGAAACTTAACTATAGGCGTAAGTACATGCTTCACCATTTTAGCATTGCTTAAAAAAGAACCATGACCTTAAATGTAAATAAATAACAGAGAGTAGAAACGACACACCCTGTGGACACCTAAGCCGCAGTTTATAATGCTTCAATTGTTTAAGATTCAACGAACCAATCTTGTTTGAAAAATGAAAATTCATTTATTACTATAATTATGTACATGTAAAACTACTTTCGATTTCAAAGAAAACAAGTTAGATATGTAGATATGCACATTTTATATTCATAAAAATGTATGGCTGCAAAGAAGAGGGACGTAAATCATGACATTTAAAAAATCAATTCACTTTTGATGATTCAAATAAGAAGTTATAGTATTCAAAGAGATAATGGAAACTATTATAAATAACATTTTAATTTCATTTGCAATAAAAATAATCTATTTACTGTAAAAGCACATATTTTCGTGGGGTCATGTACTATGTAGTGAGTAACATTCATTGCAGCAAAGAAACATTTAATATACATATTCTGTAACATTTATTATTATTTAACGATAAGGTACGACATGGATCCAAAAAAGAGTGCCAAGGATGTTATTCGTTGTGACCTCTGTGAGACAGCTATAGTGCAGATGTACTGTGATTTCTGTTATGTTAATCTATGCATCCCTTGTATTGGGAGACATATTTCATATGACTATGACAAACATAAAGTCGTCCCATTTAAACAAAGAAAATCTACCTTGATTTATCCTAAGTGCTCAAAGCATGCAACAAAATGCTGTGAATTCCAATGCAAAGATTGCGATATTTCCCTTTGCTCATTTTGTACAACAATGTCTGATACACATAAAAAAACATACCATTTTAACTCTATTGGAACTTTATAAATCAAAAAGACAAATCATTGCAAAGGACACTAAAGATTAAGAAAACATAATTTCTCCCACGTATGACGAAATTGCTATTGAATTAGAAACTCAGATATCCAACTTAGATGGAGAATATGGAATGCTAAATAAATCTGTGTTAGATCAGGGCGAGGAATGGCACAGAGAAATCAATATCATTATCGAAAAGATGAAAGCAGAAATTGAAGACATAAGATTGAAACACAAAAGCATCCTCGAAGCACATCTGGTTGAAATTAAAAAGGTACAAAATCTAATTAAACAAACACAACTAAATATGTCTAGAATTGAAGAATCAAATGAAGTGTCTAAAACATTGGAATACATGTCTAAAAACGTAGAATTAAGCAAACCTCCCGCCAAAGTTATGGTATTACTTCCAACATACAACCCAAAACCAATAGATATAAAGCAGCTCTACAAGTTGATTGGGTCTTTAACACCATTAGCAACGGCAACAAATGAAAATGGCTACAGACTTAAGAAATCATCATCTAAAGAATTGCTTCAAGAACCAGAACTTATTTGTAGGATAGATACCAGGTATGAAAAACTCCGCAGTGTTATCTGTCAAAGTGATGAAGAAATATGGACAATTGGACGTTACACTAGTGATATCAAATGCTTTAACAGTCACGGCCTCATAATGAAAACAATAAAAACAAAATCAGGAAAATGGCCGACTGATATAGCAGTAAACAAAGATGAGGATCTTGTTTTTTCTGATGCAACTGTGTATAAAGTAAAGAATGGAGAAATAGAGGGGGTCATCAAAGTAGAGGGATGGGTTCCAATCAATCTCGCTATCACCTCCTCCAATGATCTCCTAGTTGCTATGTATAGTGATTATGAAACACAATCCAAAATCGTCCGTTTTTCAGGATCTACAGAGATACAAACAATCCAGACTGATGAAGAAGGTAAACCTCTATATTCAGGAAATGGTAAAATTAAGTATATTTCTGAGAACAGAAACCTGGATATCTGTGTAGCTGACTGGGAAGCTGGTGCTGTAGTAGTGGTCAATCACGATGGAATATTCCGATTTAACTATACTGGACATCTCCTTCCCGCTAAGGATAAATCATTTAAACCTTTTGGTATAGGAACAGACAGTCAAAGCCAGATTCTTACCGCTGATAGTGATAACCACTGTATTCACATCCTAGACCAGGACGGACAGTTTCTTGGTTACGTTGATAACTGTCGTCTGAAGAATCCCTATGGGTTATATGTGGACAAAAATGACTATCTGTTTGTTGCAGAGTATTTTAGTGGAAATGTTAAGAAAATTCAATACCTATATTAAGAAATATCTGACGAACATAATAAACTGTGTCTTTAAATCTTATGGTACCCAGTTACTTTCTAATTTGTGCTTATAAAAATTAACTTAAAAAATCTTAGATAGAAGTACATTTATTACACTATTAGTAGGTGTTACTTCAAAATATTATTTAAACGAGACCGTGTCTCATTATATCAACCCAAGGGATTTTGATAATTTTTTGCTTAATAATTGTAACTGTTATATTTATTGTTTTAAGTATTTGACAATTTGTTTAAAGCGAGGTTGTTTGACTGATTGATATATTGATTGTTTTTTGTTGGCCCATGCGATTTGTTATTTCATATAGAGATGTCGAAGTAGTTTGAGTGGTGGGGTTTTGTGAAAAAAATGTTTCATCACGTAAAAATGCGGCATGGCTTTGCACCCTGGGTCAATAAAAGACGAAATATAATTAGAATTTTTATCAAAAATAGTTGAATATCTGTTAAATAAAACAATAATTAATATATATTTATACCGGTCATAATAAATATGGGGTTAAATATTTATGAAATATCTCTATAAATGAACACTTTGTTGACAATAATGATCAAATCAACATTTACTAGTATGTTAAAAATAAAGAAGCCATATAGATGTATTGATTGATTGTATATTGTTTAACGTCCCTCTTAAGAATTTTTCACTTATATGGAGACGTCACCGTATGCCGGTGAAGGGCTTCAAATTTAGACCTATACTCGGCACTTAGGGCCATTGAGCAGTGAGGGTTTTTTATCGTGCCAGCGCCTACCGTGACACTGGTCCTACGTTTTAAAGGTCATATCCGAAAGACCCGTAACTTTCACTTCTAGTGCCGAGCGCTTGGCGAAGGAACAGTCACTACCCTTGTTTACGTCTTAGGTATGACGCGGCGCCGCGAACAAGAATCGAACCCGGGCCTCCCGATCACGAAGCGAACACTCTACCACTAGGATACCGCGACCGGTCATATAGATGTATTAAAAACCTTAATAAATCATGTTTTCTTTTAGAGTTTCATGTAATTTTCAGTACTTAATTAGATAAAGGGGGTAAATTTTATTTTTGCATTATAGTTTCAGAATATGCTATGAATCAAGCCATTGTGTGTTATTGTTTATAGATTTATCATTGTTTTTCTGTTGTATTCTGATGTCCTTTGATTATTCTTTACTTGACAAGACTATGTTTTTAAATTGTTCAAGATTCTATTGTCAATTTATATAAGAATTTAGTGTTTCAGTGATGTTATTAAGAAATCAACTCAGTATTTATTATGAATGACATCTACTGTAAGTGCATGTTGGCCGCCATTGTATGACATCATCAAATGTTACTTGGCGCAAAAGTTTAGATTAATGTAAATCTAGTACAAGTGGTTTCTTGTAAAATTATAGTTTTTATACCTTGAACTATTTAATAGATACCTGTAGATTTCATTTCTCTATTTATGGTTGTTGTCATTGGCACTTTTTATTTTTTCTCAAAAATATTACCAATTCACTGATGTCTGCTATGCCAGTTCCACCACAAGAGATAGTGCTTTGTTTCATTTTATTGTACATAGAAAATATATAGTAAATATGATAACTTTGTAATATATAATGGTTTTTAATTGTTAAAATCGTAATAATAATTAATGCCTCTCAGGAATTGTCAGGAAAAGAAAGCATTTTAATCGGTTAATTAGTTTCTAGATGCAAAAGCTATATAAGGAATCCAACTTCTCATTTTTGTATAGCTCCACTGAGCGGTTGCATATTTCTAAACTTAATACTAGTAGGTATGATGATTTCTGCAAACCAAGATCATAATTTTTTTTATGAAGACAAGTTCTAGTAATTATTCAGCATAACTTTTTTTCATAACTTGGCGACCCAGAATCCTGCTATTTTATAAATTCATGACACCCAGAATTCCTAACACTCAAAATTTCTTTCAAAATAATACCTGACAAGTGGATTACTGACAATCTCTTATAATGTTAATTATTGTTAATCTCTACATTTTCAATTCTGTTACAGCACTCTTTGTTAGAAGAGTTATTCCGCTTTAAATCCAATTTTGCCTATAGACACCTAGAACTTTATACTAATCCCCCACCACTCATGAGACCCTAACAAAATTTGTGTGTGTTGATAAGGGGAGCAACACAGTTTTGTACACCAACTGTTGACTGATTTATAAGTTTGTGATGAGATTTAATAAAAAGTTATAAAGAAAATATGACGTTCCCGTGTAAAGCATCTACAGTGGTATCTTGGTATTTAAAAAGAAATAATGCAAATCCTTTTGATTTACTGTTAAAATATGTCTACCAAATTTGGATAACATATGACGGCAAATAAAAAAAAATATGACAGTAGTCCACCAGATTTTCGAACAAACCTCGTATCTCTGCAAGAAGAAAAAACATCTGTACAATGATATAACAGCAGCTAGCTGCAGTCAGTGACGTAGATTTTTTTTATGGCTGGCATAATAAGAAAACGATGAAAGAAATTGATGAATTTAGCTTGATAATATTTTTTTTAAATATAGAAAAAATTAATTAATTTAATGATTAAAAAAGTTTTCTAAGTCCACTGTATTTTCTCTTTTTGTCTGAATCACGTTTTTCTAACAATAATACCTTATTTTATGAGGCATATTATTTGAGTCTAAAAAGTTGAGCTAAAGTGCAATATCCTTTTATTCAAAATTATTTCAGTATTCTTAGTTTACACTATAAAGAAAGATAACTCTAACTGACACTAGGCTTTAATATTGACCGACATACACTTAAGATAAGGTCAGCCATTTTGAATTGTTATTTTACAGAAAAGAAAAGAAACTGAATTGAAGTTTATTGTAGATTATTAGGAGATCGCTTTGCCTGATTAGAATAGCTTAAATTTAGGTAAGTAATTTGATACATGTAGAAGGTGTAATGAGTGTAACATATGACGTGATTAGAATAATTTAACTGTACCTGGGTTCTGTATGACAAAATCACTTTAGTGATATTTTTTTTTTTTTACCTCTGATCCAGTTAGGCTGGATTTGATTAACAAAAAGGTTTATATTCCGAAACAAAAAATGATTTTGTTATGTAATGGAATAGCCAAATGTTTTCTTTAAAAAAACCTGATTATTCAAAACTACTTTCGTTTTCAGAGAAAACCAAGTCTATTCGAAGTATCGGCGAATAATTCTTTGATTATGACTTTTCAGGAGATAACTGGAATAGGACTAAAAGTATTAATATTTGAAAAAAGAAAATGCATTATTATTGATTTACTGATAAGAACATATCTTTCATTTCGATAAAAAATATAGAAAGAAATCGTCTTTTTGTAAAACTAGCTTATCATTCACATTTTAGTTTTAATATGGATCCAAGGACCAGTGCCCAAGATGTAATCCGTTGCAACCTTTGCGAGAAAGATATAGCGAAGATGTACTGTGATTTTTGCCATGTTAATTTGTGCATGTCTTGTATAGGAAAACATATTTCTGATGACTATGACAAGCACAAAGTTGTTCCAATTGAACAAAGGCAATCAACCTTGATTTATCCTAAATGCACAACACATCCAACAAAGACCTGTGAATTTTATTGCAAAGAATGTAATGCCTCCCTTTGCTCGTTTTGTACTACAATCTCTGACACACATAAGAGGCATACCGTGACAATCCTTACTGATCTCTATAGCTCAAAAAGAGACGTAATTACAAAAGATGCTGATGTATTAGAAAACATAATTTCTCCAACATATCAAGAAATAGCAACTGAACTGGAGGGTCAGATAGCTAAATTAGATGGGGAATACGAAAAGCTTGTGAAAGCAGTGTTGAATCAGGGTGAAGAATGGCATAGAGAAATTAACATCATTATCAAGAAAATGAAAACAGAAGTTGAAGGTTTAAAATTGAAACACAAGAGCATACTAAAAGCACATTTGGATGAAATTAAAAGTATACAAAATCTTATAGAACAGACACAGCTTAATCTGAGTAAAATTGAAGAGTCAAACGAAGTGTCCAAGACAATGGAATACATTTCTAAAAACAAAGAATTAAGCAAACTTCCTCCCAAAGTTCAGGTATCACTACCGATGTTTAGTTCAAATACAATAGATACAGAACAGCTTTACAAGTTGATTGGATCTTTGTCACCATTATCATCGACAAAAGATGAAAATGGCTACAGACTTAAGAAAGCAGGGACATTGTCCAAAGAACTAATGAAAGTACCAGAGCTTATTTCTATGATAAATACCGGGTATGAAAAACTCCGAAATGTCACTTGTTACAGTGGAGAAGAGATCTGGACAAATGCACGCGACAACAGTAATATGAAATACTTTAACATTCAAGGCTCAATTATAAAAACAATCAAAACAATATCAAATGAATGGCCTAATGATATAACAATAAATAAAAATGGAGACCTAGTGTACTGTGACTGGAAAACGAAGACTGTGAATGAAGTAAAAAATGGTCAATCAAATGAGTTGATCAGATTACAGGGCTGGACACCTCTCAATCTCTGTGTCACTCCCTCTGGTGATATCCTTGTTGTCATGTTCAATGATGACGAAACAGAATCCAAAGTTGTCCGTTATTCAGGTTCCACAGAGAAACAAACAATACAGTTTGAAAATGAAAACAAACCTCTCTATTCAGGAAAAAACACAATAAAGTACATCACCGAGAACAGAAATCTAGACATCTGTGTGTCTGACTCTAAGGTTTGTGCTGTAGTAGTGGTCAGCGACACCGGCAACCTCCGATTTAGATACACTGGTCATCCTTCTTCCTCTAAGAATAAACCGTTTAATCCTTATGGAATAGGAACAGATAGCCTAAGTCAGATTCTGACAGCAGATTTCGATAACCAGTGCATCCATATCCTTGACCAGGATGGACAATTCCTCTCTTATATAGATAACTGCGACCTGAAAAATCCCTATGGATTATGTATCTACAAAAATGATGATTTGCTTGTTGCTGAATATTATACTGGGAATGTGAAGAAAATTAAGTATCTTAAATAACTTACAGCCATTAAGTAACCTACAGCAGACAGAATTCATTAAACTATCTTTATTACCTGTCATCTGGTGCAAACATTTAATAAATGAAAGAACAGGAGCCACGAAGCATCAAAATCCACACCATATTTATAATTTTTTATCAGATGATAGTCTAGCATGTGTATGTTGTAAAACAATTGATATTTGATGAAATATTTTCTTGTTTTCCTTTTCCAGATGTTTAAATTAAGCATTGTTTTTCGAATCAAACACTATAACGCCATGACGTTGAAGTTGAACACTTTAAAATCATGGCGATAAGATTATACCGAAGAATCCTTATTATACGCGAGGAATTAATTATCGCGTAATTTCACAAGAAGCACCACTAGCGAAATAAAATTTCTCGCTTTTCTTTTTATGGTGCTGAAATGCATGTTAATTCTCTTGATCAAGCATCCATTCGCGAATTATTATTCTCCCGATTTGACGTTAGAGAGCCATCTCGAGATAATAAGTACTCGCCAAATATAAGGAATCTACAGTGTACGAGGGTTGTCCCAAAATTCTGTAAACAATCGTTGTTTTGTAGAAACCCTATGTTATACATTAATGAAACTTCGAATATAGATTAAAGAAACACAAACTAATAAATTTATGGACAAATATGGAGAAAATACACAAATTATTCAAATTTAAAAAACACATTTCATTGTCTGGTGTAGGGAGGTGGCGCAATACCAAAAAGTTGCAATTAAAATTTGGTATATTATATTTAAAATCCTACAGAAAAGTAATTACACATGTACTATCCCGTATTTTTCTTTAATGGAAATGAAAATTCTTAATATTGATTAATTAACTATATTTCCTCATATTTTGGTGTTTATGCTTTGATAAATATGAATTTTATAGCGTTTTATATACATGGGGTTGAAATCCGAATTTTTGAAAAATGGCGGCTGCGTTGGCCCAGGCGGCGCACTGGACTACAATCAAGTGTATTGATCCTGAATTCAATCTTACAGAAATTTACCAGTCATAAATGTTTGGTAGATTAGAAAACTTCTTCTCATCCTTAGTATTTAAAATGACTAAAACGGTTTCTCTATGTATATGTGAATAACAGTAACTAAAATAAAAGACAGGGCTAAGAAATGGGCAAAAGTTCCATTGTGCAGCTCCATAAGAGAAAACAGACGAAAAAACCGTAGAAATATAGCGTTTTCAAATTATTATTATTTCATACCTGTACATGCATACACTTTGTTTACATATTTTTATAATTGATCATATCATAGTAATTAAAATATTTTACATTTATAACTATAACCGTTTCGTTTAATCTAAGAATTTGATTTTGGTAATTGAATATTTTCTCAAAAAAATTGAACCGTTGACATTTGTATTTTTTGACGTTGCAGATTGCTCCGGGTGTAAGAGAAAGATATCACTTTAAATCTTATTACTCGGAAAGTTTTCAAGTTAACATGATAAAACTTCGTATTTATCTGCCAAGAACACGCTTTATCAACCATGAAAAATTTATAAAGAAACATTAATTTCTTTAAAATATATAAGTTCAGTCTACGAAATTTTGTGACAACCCTCGTATAATAGGTAACAAATTTACATTAATGAAGAATAATCCACCAAATTAAGATTAGAATTAAAATTGAATATTTTATCAAGTTTTTGGGGGTTGGGGGGTATGGTTGGTGGGTGGGGGCGTATTTTTGTTAAAATAAAGGTGCACACTAAGCTGAAATTTAAAGTTGTTTCGATGATGTCATATCAGAGTATTTTTTTTTTTTTATAAAAAAAAATTATCTAAGTTAATATGGACCGCTTAGTATTGCCCTAAGGTGAACAACAAAGTTTAAAACCAAAAAAAATTATAAATGTATAAAAACATCCAAATAAAAAAAAGTTTCACAGGAGAATTCGTAGTTTATATTTAACCATACAAAAACATTAAATAAGAATAAGGTTGACAAGTGAATAAAGTTTTAAGATACCATTTATCAGGTTGTCATCTTGAGAATTTTAATGCACTTGCAGTTTTAGGCCGTTTCCCAGACATTATAATGCAGCAGTGTAACTTAACAGATGGAAATGATGACTTTTCGGCACATCAAAGAGCAATTAACCGCAACTTCTGGGACCTTTGCAGTAGGCTCGTTCTTCCGAGCTTGCCAGAAAGGCGCTGGCGAGACGATGCGATTGTGTTGGAAATCTGTAGACTTAGGAGGGAATCCTTTAGCTTTAAAACAATTGGAATTAATATCCCATAAAATTGACTTCATGGCCGTAGGAACCGGAAGTGTTGCTTTAAATATGTTTGGCCGATATATAGAATAATATAGAAAACATAGCTACTTGTGCCGTCTCAATAAGTATATTGTACGTCTGATGACTTTTTATTGTTTGTCAAGGAAATTTTGGTAGTTGATATTGACCCTAGCTGAAAATGTGTGGCCGTGCCCGGCCCCCCTTAAATTGCGTTCTACTGACCTGGGTTTAGAAGAATTTACTTGGACGTCTTAGGATCCTGTCTCATCGTAGACAAAGCACACGGACAAACATCTAGTGGTAGTATTGGGTTATTTTATCAATACAGACCTTTGTAAAGATTTCATAGATGTTTTTAGTTGATTCAGTAAGAGTCTGTATATTGCAATCTACATTATTCATTATAACTAATAGCTTTCAAAAGTCTCATATACTTGTACCAGACTTGTAATTGCCGTCTTACCAAATACCAAGGGCAACTCTTTGTCCGATCATCAGTGAAATTCTTTACATTAATTATAAGTAGTATGTTGTAATCATTTTAAAGATTTGTACATGGTTTTTTTTTTACCTGGTTATTTAAAGGAGGGTCTACGTTTTCAGTTTCAAATTGTAAGCATTTGTTTTTGTACTTGTATTTTCAACCACTGCGCCCGAAGTAAACCTAATATAATTTAGAAATACATGAAAAATGGGCGATTCCTATCTTACTACAATCGACTTAAAAAGAATCTATTTTTACCGATTGGCTATACCGAGTATTTAAGCAGGCCATTTCAGCACAAACAAGATATTCATGTAAGAAATTTATGAAAGCTGAGGAAAGAAATAATTACACGTTGAACGGGTTACAAATGCATCCGAATTTAAAGTCATAGAGAGTAATAGTTTTAGAATAAAAAATAAAGAAATGGCAAATTTTAGCACCCCCTCTCCAGATAAAAAATACAAATATTTACTTGAGACTTGAAAATAAATTCTTCTGCAAATGACTTTAAAACTACTACAGCATATTTTAAAAGAGAGGAAGCAATATCAATGCTACCAAGATACAAAACGCTTGATCTATAATGACACATTTTTATACGAGTATGTTAAACATCCGAAATAATCAAATATATTTATAAAACACACTCTTTGAAATGAAAGTCATAAAACATCTATGAAATATTTCAAATAAATATATATGTTACATGGAAAATAATACATGGTCAAATCTGCATCACCCCCTGCATCTAGCCGAGATTCCTGAAAGGACTGCAACAGGTGAAACAAATGTTAAAAATATCAATTTAATTCAAATAAAATGAGGACGGATTTTCCCGTAATTTCCAGATCATGGCAAGGAGCACATGTACAGCGGGTGTGACCAGTCAGCAATGGGTATTCACTTCTACTCATGAAAACTCATCCCAAGCACCTCTGATGTTTTGGAGGTCCATGTTTGCTCTGTTCCTCTTTTGTCATGTTTTATGGACTTTGATCTTAAGTACTGTTCGTTATCTCCATATGTTTCATAAATGCATTTTCTCTTTAGGTGCTAACCTTAAGTTACTGTTTAAGTTTTCAAAAAGAAGGTCTGCTCTCAGTTGACAATCCCTACGAGATCTGATAATCTGATATGAATGTAAAAAAAGTATTGCCAATAATAACTTTTCCCTAAGCTAGAAACTAAGTATTATTTCAAATTACTCGTGGAATTTGTGCTTGTTTGTAATTTTATATAGCTCTTAATTACTTCATTATGCTTTTTTTACAACATAAGACAAATAACTCTCAAAGACACCGTGCAAGGAGGTGTTACTTGAATCATTTTACAGTCAGCCTTAGGTCAACTTTTCCCAGATTTTTTCACAACGAAAATCGCATTAAATTTTGATAAAACATAGCAGTTATCAAAAGAGAAATATTGACGTGTTCCATTAACAATCCAATATCTAAATTTTCCTTCGTTTTTCCCGCAAAATTTTTTTATCAGTCCGTGAATCGTGCTTTTCCTTCAGCGAAAAAAAAGGCAGGTAGTCTTTTTCTTTCACAGAATATATGTTTGGCAAACCTTTTATGCGTTATTATCGTATCTTGGTTGACCCTTATATTAGATCTTAATTTCTATGGTTTTGAATCGCTTCTCAGTGAAATTAACCATTGGCGAATGAAATTTTATTCCTTCATTGAAAATATTCCTATCTCTAGATCTTGGATTGCTTTCAATTGAACGAACATGCGTAATGGCAATACTGTTGAAGTTTCACATTTTCTGGACAATCTGCGAAATGTATATTTAAGTTTGCCTGATAAACTTTGTAGGTCTGGCATTGCCAATACCTTAGTTTTTTTGACGACCATCGATTATTACTGACTATATTGTTAAACTGCGTGGCATAAATCGGTACCGCATGTAGTTGAGTCAACTTATATATGAAACATGTATGTTTTACACAGGGCCAGCAGGAGCACATATTTTTCCCCCGTCTTTTAATAGAATAGCTGAAGAAAAAGGAAGAGTTTGATTTTTGAAATGTTATAAGTGATAACAGAGAAACGCTTCCAAACATACATGTACGAAAAAAAGTCTCCGGCTAACGTGATGTAAAAAATGACGAAGCGATGTTGATCCAGGTCGATAGACATATACATGTTTATAGCAACTGCAACCTGTCTAATTATCCTATAAATCAGAATTTTTGCACATTTGGTTTATTCGTTCTTTGTAAAATGTAAAAAATAATACAATGTATTT